ACGGGTAAGGTCAGAGATTTGACTCGGCCATTCCACCAAGTCAAAGCTTTATCCGCGAAGGTACAGGCTGCGAACTTGACTTTATCGGACTCCGCACAAGCACAATTTCAAAGATGGACTCAATTTTCTCGAACCATCGAGATAGAGAAATGACACCTCCAGCGCCATTAAAAGATGTTGGTTTCGCATTCATGAAATCCTTGTAGGAACCCCCTCTTTGGTGTCCCTGGCTACCCTCAGGGTTTTGAGATTGAGTACCACCACCTGAACCACTAGGGTTCATTTGTGACATAGCTGCTACCATCGCAGCGGTCATCATTGTTTGGAGCGATGTTAGATCGAACTGAGGAGGAGGTGGCGGCGAGGAAGGATTGTTGTTGTTCTTTGAGCTAGGTCTCTTTCGGGGAGGCATCTTGATCTAATAAGATCAAGGAAAAGAGGATGGTAAGTCCTCTACATTGAATCGATAGATATGACAGTTATATGATTCGAGTAAGCGATAAAGCAGGAAAGAGTTATCGAACAGATAATTTATCGCTAACAATCACAGAAACACTCGAATAAGGATTACTACAGAGGATCGAGGTCGAGAAATACTCCCATAGTATTTCATGAATTGTTTACGACAATGATTCGATGTTTGGGATATTAGGGTAAGTTTTAGGCATGCCATATACCACAGTCACTCCCAAGCACATGTTGGCCGTGTCTCGAATGAATATAGTTGGCCAGGCATATTGACCCTAGACACGACTACATAACTGCCCAGGTTTAACCGTAGTACACAACACCCATTTACTTATGTTCTGTTCTACTTGTGGTTACGGATGCGACGGTTCGGTATACTTGTATACTTTTGAAAATACTTATAGTTTGAAGATACTTTTAATTCAGAGCACTTAGGCCCTTTAGTGTTTATAGTTTTATACCATGTAAGGTTTGGTATACTTTATTCACTATAAACAAGGGCTCTGATACCAATCTGTCACACCCCGAAAACCAAAGGCGGAATACATTTCCGGGGTTGACTACCATGTTGAGTATCAAATCCAATGTTACATAGTAAGTAAAGTAAAACAAGCATTACATTACATAATAACAGTTTTACAGTTGTTTCAAAAGTAAAGTTTGTACAGTTGTGATACATAGTATATATAGACAAAAGTAACGGGCCTTCATGTACACCGTCTTCAGCAAAAGGATCTTCGGGTACCTGTTCTAACGCTGACCTGAGAACACAAGCGGTTTGAAAATCAGCATAAAGTTGGTGAGTTCATAAGCGGTTTTTGTTTGTGAAAATGTTTCGGTTTCCTTTCTATTTCTGAAATGTTATGTACACCAAGAAAATCCCGTATTTTCTTAAAAGTTGGTTATTGTTTCACAATGTAAAGTATAGTAGTTTGTACACTAAAAACATGTTTACTCATATGAAAATGTACAGTTGGTTATCTGACTGGTTAAACTGTTCTATTTACTTATGTGTGTACCCAGGAAAGTCCCATACTTTCCTTATTGTATGTTAAAATTGTAAAAGATGTAATGTTATCCATACTGTGACCTTTCTAGTTATGTAAGTGTTACCCAGGAAGCCCCATGCTTTCCTGCATGTATGTAAACGATGTGAAAGATGTAAAAGATGTAATCGTGTTAGGTTCCATGTTTTCTCCCAGAAGGTCCCGTACCTTCCTGAATGTTAGTTACAGTAAGTAAAAGATGTAAAAGATGTAAACGATGTATAAAGTAATCCATTATTACTGTAAGTAAATCTCTGTTATCCTAATTGCGAGTTCCATAACCATAAATAGACTGAAACCTGTGGCAATAAGTAGTCCACATGTGGCAATAAGTCGTCCACATACTTATGACTTTCGTCACCCTTGAACCATTTCGGTTCGGCTGTAGCTAGCAGCCAGGTGTGGGTAGTCAGCCCCGTATAGATCTATACACTCAAGTCACGCTCTCTAAATACCAGAGATTCTGGTTATGGGTGTAGTCCTCCACTCGCGTAATCCAGGTGGAGTGTTCTCCGAGGACGTGTCTCCAATCATACCGAATAACAAATTTACTAGTAATTATATGAAAGTCCCCCACTCGTATAAGTCTGGAGAGTGTTACCGAGGACAAAACAATGTACAAGTATTATATTCAAATGTTTTATATCATGCTTTTAACTGATAAAATGTGGAAAATCAATTTGTGAAATACATGTAAAACATACTAGTTAAAGTCTTAATTTCACAAATAATTTGTTACGTAATCTGTATGTTCGATCTGTTATCAGTTGTAGTTATCAGTTATAAAATCATAAGAATATGAAACACATATTTGAAAACACATTTTGAGTACAAGAATTCCCTTGTACTTTGCTTGTGTTCCCCCCTGAAAACAGTGAAAATAGTGAAAAAGGGTAGGGGTATGAACTCACCGGACTCGGAAACTTGTCGGTTTTGAATGCTAGACGTCGGTTCAGGTTTTGATTACTCGCGGTAACCCTATGTAAAATGATATAATGTCCATATATATACAAATTAGAGATACATTCACTAATTATATGGAACATTACACTCCAATGAGGTTAAACATCTCAAAAACGAGCGTTTGGAGTGACCCGGGTGACATCTTCGGACTTGTAATGGCACTAGGGACTTGGGACTTGAGTTTACTCTCCTTGAGTAAACTTTTAAATGAGTTTACAACCATGAAACACACTCACACATGAGTTTACAGCCGTAAACTCATGTTGGTGTGGTTTGAGGGTTTAAGGCTCAAATGGACAAGAGGTTGCTAGAATGGATTATCTAAATTGTCTTGGAACACTTGGAATGAATTTAAATCACCAAAATGATTATTATATGGGAGTTTACGGCCCAATATAGGCTCCTGGCCGTAAACTCTAATGTAGGGTCATACAAAGTGTTTCAAGGTCTAGAACTTGCATAGAAAGGCTTCTAAAATTCATCTAAAGGCTTTAGGGGTGTTTAGTTTGCATTCTAACACCAAAAGTTTTGGAGTTTACGGCCCAAAGAACAAGCCTTGGCCGTAAACCCTTATAAGTCCCATAAATGATGTGTTTTAGGACCCTTAAAGCATTTTGGTTGGTCCCTTGATTTATCCCAAGGCTTTTGGTGGTGTTGGATGGCTTTCTAACACTTTAGAATTGGATTTGTGTCACATTTTGGGGAGTTTACGGCCCAAGAACTATCCTTGGCCGTAAACTCACATAAGTCCCACAAAATTCATGCTTCAAGTGTCCATATGTTAAAACCAAGGTCCTACAATTCATATCTAAGCCATAGGAGTGATTTGGAAGGGTTTTAGGCATGAAAAACCCCTTTTACTTGAGTTTTACGGCCTAAGCTTATGCCTTGGCCGTAAACTCCTTTAAATGGGTCAAAATCATAGTTTTAAATGTTCTAAGTCCATATCTTGAAGTCCCATAGCCATATCTAAAGTCCAATTGAGTCT